TAAAAATTGAAAAAAAAGTGAAAGGAAAATTATGAAGTAAAAGGCTGAACAGAAGATTTTGAAGAGAAACTCAGGAAGAATTGTAACGAAATGTGCAAGGATCCAGGGTTAGAAAACCCCAAGGGAAGATCATGCTTGACATTTTTTTTTCATGTCAAAACTTTATTATGTTGTTGTTGTTGTTGAGTACCATTGAGTCAGAACTGACCCACAACTGACCAGCAGATTTTCAGAGGCTGTTAATCACTCGAGAGGAGAATGCCTATCCTTCCATTGCAGAGCAGCTGGTAGATTCAAGCTGCACGCCTGAGGGATTGCAGTGCAATTTCTTACCACTGTTATTGTTGTTATGTGCTGTCAAGTTGCGTGCAACTCATAGTGACCGTAACCCTGAAACCTGCCTTGTCCTGAGCCAGTATCACTGATTCCAACACAAATACCCCCATTGCCCAGTTATATCACTCCATTTCATTTGGTGTCTTCCTCTCCTGTGCTGTCTTTCTACCCTTCTGAGCATGAATGTCCTTCTCCAAGGATCAGTCCCTCCTGGCCATGTGCCCAAAGTTGTGAGACAGAGCTTCACAATCCTAGCCTCCAAAGAGATACTTGGTTTCACCTTCTCTAAGACAGAGTTGTTTTCATGGTGGTCCATGGTGTATGTTCAAGACTCTTCTCCAGCACCACAACTCAAGCATCAATTCTTCCTCTGTCATCCTTAGTCACTGTCCAGCTCTCTGATGCATAGCAGGTAACTGCGAAGACTATGGCCTAGATCAGATGCACCTTGGTCTCTAGACTGACGTCATTGCTTTTTAGTACTCTGGAGAGGTGGCCAACAGCAGATTTGCCCACTAGGCAGAACTAAATTTTAATACCAACTAGTAGAACTTTGGTGACATAGTTCATAGTTGTGCTATTAACCCAAAGGGAGACCTCTCTAGGAGTTCAAATCCACCAGCAACTCCTTGGGAGAAAGACAGGCAATTTTCTTCCAAGCAATTTACAGCCTCCAAAAAACTGCTAGAGAGTCAGCTACTAGTACATTCTGACACAAAAGCAATGAGTAGCTGAGCTGCTCATTTAGTACAACTGAGTTGATCAGAGTTTGAAAATGTTGGTTTCAGAGAAAGAAGGTGCTAGTTTATCATAATTATTTTCTCAGTCTAGCTCATACAGCTGGCCCATGGTAGCACTAGTGGGAGGGATAGTGTTGTTGACAAAGAAGAATAAGGTGTCCTCAGGTTGCAGGTGAATCCTCTTCCGGATTAAGAAATAGAATTGGCCAACTGTGAGATCTGAGGGCACTAAATACTTCCTCTTGTCCAGATCAGGCACCCTGGCTTTGGGAGCCTTCTCCACAATCACCAGGACTCTGTGTGGATATTTCTTCCGGATCTTTTCTCCTTCCTTTTTCCGATATTCAAAAGGATGATCCTCCTTATACTGGAACTTCATGATGGACCGCAGGGTTTCTAAAATCCCCGGACGGGGCCTCATGCTTGACATTTTTTACCTGAAAGAATGGAAGAAAAATTCAAGCCTCAAGTAGCAATATTGAACATTTGATGTTGAAATGTCATTCAACATTCAAATGATACAGGAAGCATTGAAAGAAGATGGAAGGAATACAAGAATCACTGCGCCAAAAAGAATATGCAGCCTTGTAAAGGTGGAGCATTGGATCAAGAGCTGATGCATTGATGGAGGAGGCCCAAGCTGCATGGAAGGCACTGGTAAAAATACGACTCAAAGAACTGACAAATAATACCAGTTAAAATGCTGCATTGGTGGAGATAGTTGTGTATATCAAGGAATTTGGAAAATAGCTACTTGTCCAAACAATTGGAAAAGATACATAGTTGTGCCATTTCAAAGAATGGTGATCCAACAGAATCTAGACATTATTAAGGTATCATTAATATCACATGTTAGTAAAATTGTGCTGAAGATTATGGAAAAAAAATGGTTGAAGCAATATAGCAACAGGGAACTGCCAAAAATTCAAACTGGATTCAGAAGAGGATGTGGAAAAGGGGCTACCATTTCTTATATCGGAAGGATCTTGACTGAAAGGAGAAAGATATTTGTGTGTTTTATTAATTTGTTGTTTTTTTCTATGTGCCATTAAGTTGCCAGAGGCTCATAGCAACCCTGCCCTGTCTTGAGCCAGTCTCACTAACTCTGACACACTTACTCCCATTACCCCAGTTACTGTGTCAACCCATCTCATCTGGGGTCTTCCTCTCTTGTGCTGTCCCTCCACCACCTTCCAAGCATGACATCCTTCTCCAAGGACTGGATCTTCTGGGCCACGTGCCCAAAGTATATGAGATGGAGCTTCAAAAGCCTTGTCTCCAAAGAGAAACTCGATTTCACACTCTCCAAGACACAGCTGTTTGTTCTTTTTGTGGTCCACGGTATGTTCAATACTCTTCTTCAGCACCACAACTCAAAGACACTGATTCTTCTTCTGTCATCCTAAGTTATTGTCCAGCTCTCTGATGCATAGAAAGTAATTGCGAAGGCCATGGACTGGATCAGGTGCACCTTCGTCTCTAGCCTGACATTGTTGCTCTTCAGTACTCTGGAGCATTCTCTGACCCCAGTGCAATTTGTCTTTTGATTTCCTGACTGTTGGTGCCAAGAGTGTTGATAGTGGAGCTGAGAAAGCTGAAATTGTTAACAACTTCAATCTTTTCTCTATCCATCATGGTGCTGCCAATTGGCTCAGTGGTGAGAATCTTTGTCTTCTTGATGTTGAGCTTCAATCCATATTGAAGACTACAGTCCTTGACCTTCTGCAGCAAGCGCTTCAGGTCCTCCTCAATTTCAGCAAGCAAGGTAGTGTCATCTGCATAACGTAAGTTGTTGAGTCTTCCTCCAATCTTGATGCCACCTTCTTCCTCATAAAGCTCATCCTCTCTTTCTTTTTATTAACTAGTCAAAAATATTTGCGTGGATCCTGATAAATGTTGGATAACATAGCAAAGAATGAGAATTCTCGAGTGTGTAGCTGTGCTTATGAAGAACCTACAGAGAAGCAAAGAGACAGTTGTTCAAGTGGAACTAGGTGGTACTGTGTCGTTCAAAACAAGGAAAAGTGTGTGTCGAGGTTGTAAACTAAGTCTGTATGCTGAGCAAGTAATCTAAGAAATGGGACTATATGAAGACAAATGTGACATCAGGATTGAAGGAAAACAACCTGCAATATGCAGATGACACAACTTCGCTTGCTGAACACAAAATAGGCCTGAAGCACTTAACTAATCAAGATCAAAGCCTTCAGTTTGGTTTATACCTCAACACAAAGAAACTAAAAACCCTCATGAGTGAACCAACATCATGATAAATGGAGAAAATGCCAATATTGTCAAGGAGTTTTACTTGCATCTATAATCAACATTCAAGACAAGAGCAGTCAAGAAATCAGAAGACATATTGCACTGGGCAGATCTACTACAGAAAACCTCTTCAATGTGTTAAAAAACAAAGATGTTGTTTTGAGGACTAAGATGTGTCTTGCCCAAGCTGTGGTATCTTCAATCACTTCATATGCTTTTGAAGTCTGGAAAATGGCTAAAGAAGACTGAAGCAGAATTGGCACATTTGGATTATAGTGTAAGTGAATAATATTGAATATAAAATGGACTTAAAGAGGAATGAATAAGTCTTTCTTGGAAGAAGTCCAGTGAGAATAGTGCTTAGAATAGAGAATGATGAGGCTGGGACTCATGTACTTGGGACATGTTAGCGAGGGGGACCAATTGCTGGAGGATATCATGCTTGGTAGACCGGAAGATGAAAAAAAAAAACCACCAAAACCCCCAAAAAAAGAAAAGAAAAAGATGCTCAAAGAGATGGATCTATTGTCTGCAATAGATTCAAACACAGCAAAGCTTGTGAGGCTGACTCAGGACCAGGCAGTGTGTTGTTCGATGTACATATGATCATTATGAACTGGGATGGATTTGATGATGTCTAACAACATGTATGTCTGTGTAAAAGTGTGTCTATGATGTGTAGGATGTGTGCATCTAGGTTAGTTTTTCTATGTTGATCCAGCACATAGAAAACACATGGTAAAAGTTGTCATCATCATGATCCAGCATGGCTTTCCACAATGGCTTGTTTCAGACAGCAAGAAATTTGAGAAGTTTGAATACATGAGTTGTGACAATGAAGTAAAAGGAATTTTAAAGTAGATTAACACTTAGTTATTAAAATGAATAAATGAGTCATAATTTTTAAAATCTTTCTTCCTTCATTCATTCCGGAAGTCCCTTACTGGAGTAGATTGTTTTCTGTAGAAGTTTCATGAGCACTGATCTCAAATGAGGGCACGCTGTTGGCCTTGTGTGTGGGGAGTTGCAATAATAACCCAAAGGAAACACGTCTCTGGAGGTTCAAATCCACCCGTGGCTCTGAAGAAGAAAGATGGGCTACCTCCTACCATGTGATTCAAAGCCTCTGAAAACCCACTGGAGGGTCAGCTCTGAGTCAATTCTGCCTCAGCGGCAACGAATTGAGTTGAGTTGGCACTCTTGTTTATAGGAAAGTAGGAATTGTCAGATGTCTCAAACTTTCTTCAGTACAAAGCTGATGATGTTTCCATTCATCTCTCCTTTCCTTCTTTCTCCATAATCACCTTAATTGATTTTGACTCAAACTTCTCCAGTCCTCACATAAACCCCTCTGATTTTGACTCAAACTTCTCCAGTCCTCACATAAACCCCTCCCCACCTATTTTGATTATTTTGCTTTTTCTTCTCAAATGGCTTCAAGCCCCTTCAAGTCTCATTTAGACGCACCACCACAACCCCAAAATATGTGGTCCACCAGCTTCTCTGAAGCAGAAAGATAGACAATCCTGATGTAGGTAGGATCAGCTATGAGACAGTTCCCACTTAATGGCACATAACAACAGGGTGTGGTGCATTACAAGTTTTGCTGCTAACCCAGAGGTCAGGGGTTCGGATCCACCAACTGGTCTGTAGGGGAAAACTAGGAAGTCTCCTCTTGTAAAGAATTTGAGCTTTGGAAATCTGAGGGATGTTTGCTATAACTTGAACCAACCCTACAGTAGTGGGGTTTGGATTTAGGAGGCAGACAGACAAGGTCAGAATCTACTGAAAACTGTGAGTCTGATGTGAGACGAGTCAATGAGAGGATTCAAGGCTGGTCAAGTGACATGATACAGCAGTCCAAGATCAGTTGAAAGGACAGAGTAGGTTTCCCACAGCGTAACAAACATTTCAGTGGTTTAACACAATAAAAGCTTCTTTCTCACTGATGTAACATTCCAGAGAATAAGTTCCTGGTTGGCTGACTGTTTCTGTCCACACAGTCAATCACAGACTCCTAACATCTGGGTCTGAGTCCTCTGTGTTTACCCAGCAGGCAGGGAGAGAGAGGGAGGAGAAGCCAGACCAGATTTTTAAATATTCTGGCCTGGGAAAGGACACTCATCACTTCCGTTCTGAAAACAGCCACCTGGCCACACGTGAGTCCTACACTGCTGTGACCGTTCTGTGCTAAGGAAAGAGTGTACGCTGGGAAATCCAAGATCGAACTCATGATCTTCTATCCATCACCAGGGACTCGTCTCATGTTTCCTCAGGAAGTGGCACTGTTCTCATTCTTTGTTGTCCAGGGTAGAAACTTGGGTGCAACTTTGACCTTCCCTTCACCTTCCCAGCCTTTGCCAGGTTTGAAATGTCTCAGCAAACACTCGCCTCTCTCCACCGCCATCCCCACATTCTTCCCCTCCTGGCATCTCCTGGACAGCTCTAGCCTTATCTGCTCTGCCTCCTCTGAACTTTTCTCCCACATTCCTGCCAGACTAGGTTTTGAAATCTCAAGTTTGCTTACACCACTGTCCTATTAATATGTTCCAAAGACTTTCCACTGTGCTTGGGATGAAGTTGAACGTCTTCAGTGTGATCTCTAAGCCCTGCAGAGTCTGGTCTTACCTATCCCTCTGCTATCAGCCAGCATCATACTTTACCCTCCTTCTGGTATTGGAGATTTGCTATGGAGAAGAGATTGAAGCAATCTGTTTCATTTTACTTGGACTCACGATCATCAGCCAGCTGTCAAGAAATGTTTTAAAAAGGTCCTGCATTGGGAAAAATCTTCTCTCGAGGACCTCTGCAATTATATCACTGTAAAGTCTAAGGTGTGCCTGATCCAAGCCATCGTCTTTTCAATCACTTCTTATGCATCTGAAAGTTGGACAATGAATAAGGATGACAGAGAATGAACCTATGGCTTTGAGTTGTGGTGTTGGAGAATACTGACTAATCCATGGATTGCCAAAAGAGCAAACATGTCTTTCTTGGAGAAAGATGATGGTGCAACTTCATCTCACATTCTTTGGGCAAGTTGTTAGGAGGGGGGCCAGGCCTTGGAAACCATGCAGAGAAAAATGCCGGGTCAGAGAAAGAGAGGAAGACTTCCAACAAGACGGTTTGGCACAGAGACTGTAACAATTGC